CATGCATGCATAGTTAATGTTTACATGCATACATGCATGCATAGTTAATGTTTACATGCATACATGCATGCATAGTTAATGTTTACATGCATACATGCATGCATAGTTAATGTTTACATGCATACATGCATGCATAGTTAATGTTTACATGCATACATGCATGCATAGTTAATGTTTACATGCATACATGCATGCATAGTTAATGTTTACATGCATACATGCATGCATAGTTAATGTTTACATGCATACATGCATGCATAGTTCATGTTTACATGCATACATGCATGCATAGTTAATGTTTACATGCGTACATGCATGCATAGTTAATGTTTACATGCGTACATGCATGCATAGTTAATGTTTACATGCATACATGCATGCATAGTTAATGTTTACATGCATACATGCATGCATAGTTAATGTTTACATGCATACATGCATGCATAGTTAATGTTTACATGCATACATGCATGCATAGTTAATGTTTACATGCATGCATGCATGCATAGTTAATGTTTACATGCATACATGCATGCATAGTTAATGTTTACATGCATACATGCATGCATAGTTAATGTTTACATGCATACATGCATGCATAGTTAATGTTTACGTGCATACATGCATGCATAGTTAATGTTTACATGCGTACATGCATGCATAGTTAATGTTTACATGCGTACATGCATGCATAGTTAATGTTTACATGCGTACATGCATGCATAGTTAATGTTTACATGCATACATGCATGCATAGTTAATGTTTACATGCATACATGCATGCATAGTTAATGTTTACATGCATACATGCATGCATAGTTAATGTTTACATGCATACATGCATGCATAGTTAATGTTTACATGCATACATGCATGCATAGTTAATGTTTACATGCATACATGCATGCATAGTTAATGTTTACATGCATACATGCATGCATAGTTAATGTTTACATGCATACATGCATGCATAGTTAATGTTTACATGCATACATGCATGCATAGAGAATGTTTACATGCATACATGCATGCATAGAGAATGTTTACATGCATACATGCATGCATAGAGAATGTTTACATGCATACATGCATGCATAGTGAATGTTTACATGCATGCATAGTTAATGTTTACAGGCATACATGCATGCATAGTTAATGTTTACAGGCATACATGCATGCATAGTTAATGTTTACATGCATACATGCATGCATAGTTAATGTTTACATGCATACATGCATGCATAGTTAATGTTTACATGCATACATGCATGCATAGTTAATGTTTACATGCATACATGCATGCATAGAGAATGTTTACATGCATACATGCATGCATAGAGAATGATTGCATGCATACATAAATGTATCCACCACAATCCCTATGCTTACTACTTGTAGAGTAGAAAATTTTCTCAGTAACTGTGGTGCCTCCCATAGGTTGATTCAAAAAAAACTTCAACATACGGCAGCTATATAGATTGATTTCTATTATAAGGGATGCTGATTAGTAGCTAAGTTCGAAATTGTGGCCAAAAAAAATCTAAATTATTTAGAGTACATTTATTATGCTTCGGTATTGTGGCCAACTTGTGTGGCAGACCTTTTTTCTGGAAAAACATGCATGCTTTGTTTGAATTGTTCTTAATATTTTTCTGGAAAAAACAGGTCTTGTTTGTTTGCCTTTCCTAAAGAATCCAATCTCTTATTAAACCCTTCTTGAAGAACAATGCCTGAACAAATTGTCAAGCCACTAGACCATGAGAGGGTCCAATAGTCCAGTTCACTTTAGTCGGTTTGTTGCCGAGGTTCAGAATTGCTGCATGTTTTTCCTAAGGTGATCCTGGAACTAAGAGAAGGGAAAAAAACACAAGACCGATTGCCAATGTCAAATTTCACGCCTTTCCTAAAGGATCCAATTTCTTATTAAACCCTTCTTAAAGAAGAACACCCGAACAAGTTTTCAACCCACTAGGTCATGAGAAGATCCAGTTCACTTTATTGGGTTTGTTGCCCAGATGCGGAATCACAACAAATTTTTCCTGAAGTGATCCGGTTTCTTTTTTTTTCTCTCTCTCTCTCTCTGTTTCTTTTGTTCCATCCTTCGTAAATAAAATACTTGAGGTGCAAAAGGTAGCGCAATCAACAGGCTGATTTCCACTTACTACAAGTACTGTAAGTACTACAAGTATCACAAATACTACAAACTCACCAACGCCAAACAGATATGAATTAGGTTTTAGTTGTCGCCAATTGAAATCCTGACTTAAACGTGTGATTGTATCCTATTTGAGGAGCAACTTAAAAAAAAAACAAATCAGAGACTATAGCATTTGTTGGGGGGGGGCCACACTAATCAGGACCAGGACGGAACATTACGGAAGATTCATCCCATATCCCTACTAAAAAAACATGAGCAATAGAATGCTGGCTGGGTTTCAAATTTCAAACATTTTTTATTTTCCATAATATATGGGATAATCCTTCCCATTGACTTTCATATTTTACAAGATGGTTGAAACCACCAACCAGGAATGACACTGATATATCCACCAGAATCATCCTATTTATTTCCCCAATAAATCGCCTCAAAATCCTGAGGCCATGCCACGGAGAGGCCTCCTTTCCTCCCTTGGTGCAGTGGTGCTGGCAGTGGAGCACCGGGAGGCAGGATCCAGCTAGTATATAGGCCAGTTATATACATATATATATATATATCTATATATGGGAAAAAAACACTTAGGGGACTGGGGTTATGAATCACTGATAATAGTTGGGGGCTTTTTTTTTCCGATAGAATTACGGAAGTGTATGGTGATGAACGGGATGTCTTCAGCAGGGGGAATGGCTTTTCCCTAGATGGCCATTAAAACAAAAAGATAAAAAGTGATGAATCAGTGGACGGTATATTGAGACAGACAAAATATATCAAAATATATTAAACGTATACATATATTTGTAAATAAATATATATATATATATATTGTGTTTCACTGTATGACATATATTATGATATATAATATATTTGTATGTACATATTTATAGATTATACGTATAGATAGATGTGTGTCACTGGAAGAAAGGCCTGATTATAAAACGTTGCTTCTATCCATGGAAGCGAGGATCTGTGCCACGAAAAGCATAGGCAGTTTGCAACAGGCCGTAGACAGCGCAGATGGCAACTACGGGAAGGGGCTAAAGGTCAGGTCCCCCAAACGTGATATGAATATTGGTTTATAAAAATATAAGCTGTAAGGTTGCCCTGGGGATACCTAATTAGGACAAACATACAAAAGCGCACGGAGTTTTCAGCCATGGTTTTCCATGGAACATGATCCAAAAATTGATGGTGGGTTTTTTCTTCGCAGCTAAGCGTTGAAAGGCTACGGTTTTTTCCCCCAGATGGCCAGGTTCATCATGATTCTCGCTGGAACGACCCGTAGGGACCTGAGCGGTTGCTGTTTCTGAGACTATGGTTTAAAGCATTTGAGGGCCAGGAAACCCTTACTGATTATCTATATTTCATGGGGGAAACCATGGTTTCCTCCAGAATTCCTAAACACCCTGCAAAGATATGGTTTGGCCTTAATGTTATCGGATTGTAGTGTCTCCATGCGAAGAATACAACAAATACAACACATTGAACATTATTTCGATGCTCTTGGCACTGAACCTGCTTTACCTTCTCGAGCACCTACACTAGATATGTGTGTATGCTGTATATCATTGTATATCCATGCATATCTTGAATGTATACGTAGATGGAATACATAGCTAGCTACCCATTCACCTACCTACCTAGATACATATATATAATACAGATATTGACATATATAAAGACTCGTGTGTGTGTGTTTTTGTTTGGGTGAAATCCAATGTGTGATTATCATGTTCAGCGCAAGACAAAATGCGCTGGTTTGGGTTGCACCATTGTTTGTGGACAAACATAATATTATGGTCTGACCAGCGCTGATAGTTGTGAATCCCGTTTTTTTAAATATCTTTGAAAGATCACTTATATATATATATACATGTATATTTGTTTTTTGCTTGTGGTTAGTCCTTTCAGTTAGGTCATGTTATACAACACCTATATAACATCTTAAGCTAGACATGTTTCTTGCTATGGAAACTTGTCAGATGGGTGCCGAGGTCATTCTTTAATTCGTGCTTAGCTTAGCTCGGCTGATCTCGGCTGACAAGCTAAACACCATGAGTTTTTGATAGTTTTTGATCATGGCCGTTGATGTTACCCAAAGATACCCAAAGGGTATAAGGTGTACGCAGCGTACGCAGGAGTTCTTTGAGAGTTTTCGCACAAGTCCACACAGTTGGTCGAGGTTTGCTTGTGCTCGTATGTCTAGTAAAATCAGAACCACCATGGGTTTGTGCGAAAATAGTCCATGAAGATTTCCCTATCTTTTCCCAAAAACAATACAGTCATCAATTGGAGGTGAAATCCCCAATTTTCAGAAGCGCACTTTGAATCAGGCCCCGCCCCGTGGACAACTTGGCTTTCAGCTCGATTAGCAGTTGGTCACCAGTAGTCACCCCAAAAGATCAAAAAGGAATGATTTGTTTTAAGGGGAAAAACCCTAAATCCATGGGTGACCCTCTGGTAAATTAAGTAAATTAACATAGACCCTGGCAGATAGGGGTTGGAAGACTAGTTTCCATTAAAAATTAGTGATTTTCAGGGTCTATGTTAATATACCAGGATGTAATCCTTATTTTCGCATTAACCCCAGATGAAGTATATTAATTATATAGCCACAACTCCATTAATCCGTGGGCTTAACCACCCTGCGTAATCATCGCTTGTTCCATTAGAAGTGCAATTTTGAAGGAAAATCCACTGGTGAATCAGAATTTTCCTTATTCTTTCATAGGCATCAATTGCAGGGTATACCCCCATCACCTGCCGGCCATTGAAAGTCAGCCATGTATTCGGTTTCTTCCTATTTATTTCAGAGGGCACCCATCAATCCCGCCCTGGGGGCAAGGGACATCAAGGGACCAAGAACGATTCTGACGGCCATGGATGAAGAACTTGACGCGGCCTTGCGGCAGGTAGGATGCCGAACAAGCTCACGGGTTTGCCCGTGCTCATGGTGATTTACTTGGTATTTGATAGGGGAATTCAATGATTTTTCCTACAGTACAACGTTATTTTACAATAAGGAGAATTATGATTAACCGGTGGATTAGCTTTGGGTTTTCCTCACATGTATGTAGCGTGTCAGACGAGTGATTAATATTTAATATGTTCAAAATGTTTCATACCATTGCATAACGCAATAAAAACAACAAAGTTGAAACCATCATATGTTTGTTTTTTCCAAACCCATGGCCCACCATGGTTGAACTTGTAGTATTTCTCTATGTCCGAGTTAAACTTGCCATGTCCAGGCCTGGATGTTACCTTTCTCACTCTTATTGCAATTTCTACTAAAGCATATTATTACTATGATTACTGTTATTCAGTTATTACTATTTCTACTATTACTACTATGTTTACCTTTATTACTACATATGCTATTATTACTATTATTACAAATATGTTTTTTTCATTGTCACTATTATTACTGCATTATCATTATCAATATTATCATATAATACAACATTGTGCTTATTTTCAGTATTGCAACATTTTTTTACATCATTATTGCATCACTAGTTCAATGTTATTACATATTATTACTGATGATTTCATTCTATGCTATTATTACATTATTTTTACATATGCTATTTTGAACGGATGACGATCCCTATGGATCCAACGGCTCCATGATATGTTTGGCCAAGGGGGTGCCTCCAATTATAAATGGGTTATAAGCCAAAAAAACTAGTTCGATATATCCCATATTTCACCAACAAAAACCAGTTCGTGAAATTGGAGTTTTTTTCGCAACTTAGCTATCATAAATCAGCTATAAATCCCATTAAACCCACATTTTCCTATGGTTTCCAAACGGCTTTACGCAGCGTTCGACCGTGGGATGGCCGGGGGCATCACTGGTCGCAGCTGCTCGAGGCCACCTCGTCGAAGCTCCCGGGGGAGCAGAAGGCGGAGCTCTTCACAGCTCTGCGACGCCACGGCGCCAAGGCGCCACAGCAGCTGGCCACATGGGAGGCCAAGGCGTGGCGGTGCCGTGGACTCCGTGGACCTTGGGAAGATATGAAAAAAAACACCAGGGAAAACCCATGGGAACAGTAGATTGTGTTGGATTGTGTTGGATGATGACTCAGAGATTTTGAAGAGTCAATTAATAAGTTGTTTCTACAAATCATGGTTTTGGCTTAGGATTCTTGGACAGGAGGGCTTTGTCACCGGGGGTTTTGACACTAGATGAATCCTCACACTCAGAATCTCACTTGACATCGAACGTGGAACCTTTACAGCGAACCTTACACTCATCGATCCATATAGTTTGCAACATTTTGGTCATCCCACGCTTTGAATTATTTTCGTTGTAGTAGATATTATATGCCCTTATGTTTGGTGAACCCGGCCATACTTAAGGATGATAATGATCATTCCAACCTTGATGAACCATGAAACATTTGCTTGTATGGTCATTATGGTTCATGTTGTCAGCATGGCGACATCTTAATCCATGGAGGTTATACCTTCGGGTCGGCTCTATGGTTCTCCATGGGTGGTAAGTTGAGTTCCCCGTATTGGAAAAGTGTGTGTGCCCCCATGGATCGTCATTTCAGTGTGGAAAAGTGCTACTTTCATTAAATGGCTTTGCATGAAATATGGCACCCAAGAATCCATTGGTTTATCAGGTTTATCCTTTATGTTTCATTCAAATCGCCTCAAATTGCCATTTGATCAATGTGCGGATGTACGGTTTACATCGCTTTCCCATGGTTCACCCCATTTTCAGGCACACCCATAGAACGAACATCGCGTTGCCGGACAAGAACAGGCCGAGCTCCTGCGTTTCCTCGCCGAGTTCTACGAAGAGAAACGATTGTACCACCGGCAGGTGAGCGAGCGGCTTATGGTAGCCGCTACGCCGCTAGCTCCTCTGGGTAACCTAACATAGCTCTATAGTGAAAATGGCACAGAATAACCTATCAGATGATTTACTTATAAAATGTTGGCGAGTTCCCATAGCCATGTTTTAAATTTATCTAAGTTTATCAGAGGGTAGTAAGGATGACATTCTTCGATGATCAAATTAGGCACGAAAACGCTAAGGTCCAGAGATAGATCAGACCATCTGCCAATTGCGGGTTGCCACAATTTTCTTCTCAGTCGTATGTCTCCATGTCAATATCTCACCAACATCAGCTGTTTATGGTTTGGTTGACTGTCAGTTTACTACCTTGAAACCGACACTTCCTTTTTTGTATCTACAGATCGGATGTGTGTTTTTTCAATGCGGCCATGTTCGATTGGAAGAGTAAGAGTTGACCCCATTGCTGAATTGACCCATACCAGCATGTTTCTTAGCTCAAAAACATTCAAAAACCTTATGAGAAAGGTTGGTTTTCTTTATGTTCCAAAGGTTTAAGACGTTTCAGAAAAAAACATGGCTCAGTTGAGACTCGGTGCTGTGAAGGTCGTCAGTTTCCTGGAGCTGCTCTTTGAAGTTTCGCCTGGCTGGGCTTCGGCGGCTCAAGCCTTGAGGCGCGCTGCAAGAGTGTTGGGAGAGTGGTGCAATGGAGATTTCGCTCCACCTGTCATTTGCTCTTGCAGTCTGCACCTCACCCTTCTTGAAAGCCTTTCAAAGAAGTTCTTCCAGAATGTGATGACTGCAAGAACATGAAAAAAAAGCGATGAACGCAGTGAAAGCAGCCATGTAGAAACACGCATCTTGGCAAGACCAACAAATTGTTGCATCGCTTCCATGTGTGTATCAAACAAAGACCTTCTATGGGGCCCCTCAAAGCGTAGCGCGCCCCAAATAAGACATATACATATTCAATATTAAATATCTATCTATATGCGTTCGGATACCCTATCGAATTTACAATAAAAGTTCGAGTCACGGATATCGCAACGGATTTCCCCCTGGTGTCGAATTTGCTGTTTTTGTTTGACATGCCTGCGTGCAGTTGCGGGAGAATGCGCTTGAAGAGGTGCTTTTGATTTTTGTACATAGTCTAATAAGATTCTAGTTAGCAATGGTGAAGGAATGGTTCATGTCATGTTGGTAGCAAAGCAGGCGTGAGCAAGCAAGACGCAGCCCTGCATGCAGATGGGAGGGAATGAGCTTGAAGAGGTGCTTTGATTGTTTGAGGTTGTCCAATGAGCAATGGCCGAAGGTGGTTTAGGAGGCATGGGCAGGCAGCATTCATGCCTGCATGCAGTTCCGAAAAATGAGATTTGAAGAGGCGTTAGTGTATCATCTTTTGATGCCCGCAGCTCCAGCACCCTCCAGCGCCGTCGGTCTCACACCCTCTCCGCTCTTCTGCCGTCGGGTTCTGAGATCTGAGAATGAACACATGACGTCACGTGGATCCGTAGATCATTGTGAAACCACCCTACATCCTGAGGCCGTGGTCGCTGCTTCAAAGGTCTGGGTGCACAAGTGCGCGCGCGCACCGAGGACCATAGGCGCCATGGCAGGCGCGCAGGCGCCCTACCCGCACGGACAGGACCATAAGCCCTGTTATATGAACAGCGTCGGAAGCTTACCAAACCCGCCACTTGTCTTTTCCGGCCTTTTTTCCCTTTTCCCCTGCATTTCCGCCCAGGTGGTCCCGAAACATCTCGTTGTGTTGTCCTGTTGTCCTCAATAAGCCGATCATACCTTTCCGCCCGCCGACGCCCAATCCCCGCCCCAAACAAGCAAAACTCCAAGAGTCACTGAGTCACAGGGTAGATATTTTCGTGATGGGAGGTCTGGCAACGAGAGGGCGGTGGCCAAGAAGGCGGCCAAGAAGGCGAAGGCACAGTGCACAATAATGTAAGGAGTGTGAACGACTGGTCCGAACAATGCAGCACAACAAAGCCCAATCAAATGTCACATCTCTGTACTCGAACACCGACCTGAGGTGGCTTCAAGGCAAATGGTTTTGCCTGAACATTTTTTTGTGTCACTTTGGATCACATTAGCGGTCAAAAACAGCTTACCGAATGCTTGTGAGAAACAAACAACATGTTGTTTGACAGATGTTACCAGCATGTTACCAGCAAACGCGACACGTCGATGTGCATGACGTATACAGTATTCCATCTTCATGTTCGCATGGCATTTATTGTGTTAGAAAACAATAATCAACGCTCGATCTGAATGGGTTTGGAGGTGCTGGCCGAGTAACAAGCGCGGGAGGAACGGTACAAGGAAGCCTGGGAGCACCCAGGGGTTAAGGACGGATGTATTGAATGGACTTGGGATGATCAAATTTGTGTGAAAACATCAAACATCTTCAAACAATAGGGGGCCACCCGCTTACCGATACCTTATTTTTACTCATAGCAAGGAAGCACAAACCTTCACAACCGATAGGGGACCGCCGACTTGGCCAATGTCCATTGCGAGTAGTAAAAGTAATTTTGCCCGCCAATCATTTACAAATCCGGAAAGGAACTTTCCATTGTCTGTTCTGTTGTCAGCAGAACCTACGCACCTTCTCCTGTATGCTCTTGGCACACTGCGTGGCGGAAGGGAAGGCAGTCACCGCGGTTTGATGCCCAGGAGTGGAATCGATTCATGGGAACATGATAATTACATAATTACAAGAAGCACGCACGAAGAGTGCCTCTTAAGAGGAAGGCAGTAACATGAATATAAGGATTAATGGGGCAATAATCCCTTCTCCCTATTGCTAAACGCCGCCCAGATAATAAAAACTAGGCACCTTTTTAATTGATCCCCTTTAGAAAACAATTTAAACATGAAGCTACCATTTCAGGGTTTCACCCCCTAAAAAATAAAAACTAGTCACGGGGTGTTTTTTTTATTAGGGTCCGTCTTTTAAGGTCGAAAAACAAGTATTATATACTAAGGTTTATTATCATCTAATATTAGGGGACATCTTCGAAATCCAATTTTGGGCAATATGTGAATCAGATTTTACAAGGAAATCGAATCGATTTTGAAATAGGAAAAAACATATAATAGGTTTTAAATTTTGTACTAGGGGGAAGGCTCGAAATCCAATTTTGGACAATATTTTAATTCGATTTTAAAAGGAAATCTAATCGATTTTGAAAGGTAAAGGAAAAAGTAGTTTTTTATATTAGTGTTTTAACTTTAGTATGAGGGGAAGCTTCGAAATCCAAATTTTGGCAATTTTTTGATTAGATTATAAAAGGAAATCTAATCGATTTTGAAATAGAAAACAAACGTTTTTTACATTAGGGTTTTTAATTTAGTATGAGGGGAAGCTTCGAAATCCAATTTTTGGCAATATTTTAATTAGATCTTAAATGAATTTGAAATAGAAAAAATAGTATTTTTTTTAAATATTAAGCTTTTAAATTTAGTATTAGGGGGAAGCTTCGCACCCTAATATATAATAAAGATGATCCCCTAATAATAAAAACTACCTGAGGTGTTTATTATTTGGGGTGGTGGGGAGTTTAGTATTAGGGGGAAGGGATTACATGAAGATATGATTCTGATAGAATCAACAAAGACTTGACAAAGACTGGGAGTCTTAAAATATCAAAAGATTTCAATCCCTGGCAAGGCAGGAGAGGTGTCCATTCGATGTGTTGGAGGAAGCCTGGCCCTGAAGCTGTGCTCGCCGGCTTCATCCTCGTCTTCACCGGCTCCTCCGCCACAGGAACCACGGATTGTGTAGTGGCAGAGGAGGCTGACATTCCTGGTCAACCACACAAGAATTTCTGCCATTTGAAGCCGCAATCATTGTGCTAAGATGCTACCTGTCATCTGCATGCGTCGTGCGTGCTTGTGAACATCACATTAATCGGGCAGGAGGAGCAAGACACGGTGGAGATGATAATCCCCGCCGAGACCCGTGCGGACAGAGGGTGGGTGTGCGGGCGTTCGATCAGTTTGGGTTGAATTCATCCATCTAATTAGCAACAACAGGCTGTGATTGAAAACTGAACTCCAAAGTTGGTTAAGCTCGCAGTGTTCCTGATGCAGGAGCTGAAGCGGCTTGTCGCTGGCCGGGTGGATCCTCACCGTCCTCACCATAATAAGAAGAGCCCGGGGTGGGGGCATCAGAACTTTCTGGTGAAGCTCCACCCGAGGGGTTGCTGCAAGCATAGGCAAGGTTTGTGTTTTTTTTAAAGGAGAGCAATGCTTTCCCAGAGGGACCAGCACTGGGGCCCCGTCACTTGGATGGACCCCAAGGTGGGTAAGCCGGGCATGGGGTGCTACAATACAAAGTAGAAACTGTCGCATGCCCGGCTTGCTGAAAGAATCCGAGGCACCCCCAGTGAACTGATATCTACCTCTGACATATTCTGACATTCAACAGCACCGGCCTGCTTGTCCAAACGCCGTTGTGGCGCGAACCACAGCTGTCGAAAAAACGCACGCCGTTGTGCGAAGCACATTTCCAAGTCAAAATGTACAAAACACTTCAGCTTCGGATCACTTTTAGGAATTGAGATTTCAACAAATCCAAGTCAAAATGTACAAAGCACACCATTCTCGGCGTAGGTGCCAAGCATGGCAGTTGGTATGATCCGGGATCAAGCGGTATATACATCAAAGAGTTTGTAAGCTTTGGTTATTATTGTTGGCTATGGTTTGCAGGCATCAAAAAGGGGCTTTCAAGTCATTGGTCAAATGGCAAGTAGATCCCATGGGGTTCCCCATGCTTGCAATCTGACTAGCCCCATCAAATGGCCGGGGCATTTCAATCCTGTTTTGAGGTTACTCTCAACTCGGGCCCCTTTGCCATGTGATGGAAATAAGGACCAAGTCCGGTTGATGTCTGCATCTTGATGATTTTGGATTTGTCCGATTGATTGATATAACGTGATGATTTTCATGGTTTTTTTCCGAATTCCAAATAAAATAGATTTTCAAAAAATGGGTTATTTCCGCAATGTCGGGCCCCCTTCGGGTCGCCCCCATTCCTGAGCAGGAACGACTGGCCTGAAGAGATGGCAAAGGCCAGGAACATTAGATTTGTTTTTTTCTGACGAAGGATGATACCGACACCTTGCGTTTGTATGGATGGATGTTTTTTTTCCAATGAAGATCTGATGACGTTTTTCCAGCAAAAAAATGGGTTTGATGAACGGACATCTGGCTTCGGTCAGCAGAACTGGGATAGAATCAGCACAATGTGGGTATAGATGAAATTGTTTTTTAGATTGTTTTAGCCAGTTTTTAAAACACAGCATGTTTTAGCAATTTTGTCACGTATTTGCCATCAAGATTTCCCGCTGGTTGTGCCAAACGTACGTTACCGGTGGAAAGGTAGAAGCATGGATGGGTAGATAGATAGATGGATAGGTAAATCCAGATAGATATATAGATTCACCCTGTATCGGATATAAAGATGACATGTAATTCAGCCAGAATCACAGGAGTGAAACTACTTGAAAAGGGGATCAAGATTCCCGAAACCAGTTTTATACACTGCCTGTTTGATACATATGTCTATGCGCATTTGCTGTACATTTGTATGCATGATAGAATGAAACTGAGATCCCAGAAAACAACCGTCATTGGATGCTTCAAACCGAACTACTCACACCCGAACAGACTTCATATGCTGTAACTGTAGCACATGAAAACCCCGAACAGCATAGCCACAGCCCTACACTATTGGAAAAGGTGCGATCACCTGTTGTTGGCGCTACCGTTGACAATCACATTTCAAATTTCTACCATTTTCCATGGCCTTGCATAAGAATGCATAACAAACAATGCACAACTTACCTGATTTCAAACAACAACTACATCTTACAGATACATACATAAATAAATAAATAAATAAACTATATATATATATATTTATATATATATATATATTTGTACTGTGTATATATATATATAAATATGTGCTAGCCCCTTGTTTTACCAGAAAACGTAAGTATGGGGGGCACCATATAAGTGTATATATATATATAATGTGTATGTTGTACATTTGCAAACATCTCGTGTGTTGAGATGCGTCTGTAATATGTGTGTACAACAGATACAAACCAAATATATGTGTAAACCATGTGTACACTGAAACACACCTCTTATGCATGTTTGTTTGTCTGTTTGCTGGTCTGCTGGATTCCTTTTTAAGAGGTTGAACTTCCCACGCTACATGTTTTTTCCCTGAACCCAGTGATATCTCGCTTGGGTTGGCTCTTCAAGATAAACCCCATTAAACCATTGGATATGGAATCAGTTTGGGTTTCCACAGATCTCCCAGCCTGGTCATGTTGGCTTCGCAGCAGGTGGTACCTGAAGGTTCAGAGACAGGCTTAGATTGGGCCGAGAGCAGTTGATTTAATGATTTTTTTGATGCTGAATGCTCAGGGGTTTTGCACATATTTTCCACATATGTGCATACATTTAGATGTATATTGTGCGTGTGTTTGATGAACATGCATGTTAATCTCTATAGTTGTTTCTTCAGTTTCTTCAATGCGAGACCAACAAAAATGTGGTAATGGCTTCAATTGCTGTTTTACATCTTCATCCCTGGGCCTATGATTCTGGGGTTAAACTTGTGGCTGTTCAGGCACTGGAACCGCAGTGCCGGCGACGAAGGCTGGGGCGAATTACCAACTATAAGGAAGTAGTATAATACAGTAGTAATAGTATTGAAGAAGTGGTACTAACAGTAGTCGCAGTTGTAGACGTAGTTGTAGTTCATGATCATGATGATACTGCTTTTTGTTTTTTTGGTTGTTGCTGGTGTTGTTGTTGTTGTTGGTGGTGGTTGTTGTTGTTGTTGTTGTTGTTGTTGTTGTTGTTGGTGTTGGTGTTGGTGTTGGTGTTGGTGTTGGTGTTGGTGTTGGTGGTGGTGATGGTGGTGGTGGTGGTGGTGCCGTTGGTGGTGGTGGTGGTGGTGGTGGTGCCGTTGCTGGTGCCGTTGTTGCTGCTGTTGCTGCTGTTGCTGCTGTTGCTGTTGTTGCTGTCGCTGCTGTCGCTGTTGTTGTTGTTGTCGTTGTTGTTGTTGTTGGTGTTGTTGGTGTTGTTGGTGTTGTTGTTGTTGTTGGTGGTGGTGGTGTTGTTGTTGTTTATATGTTTGTTTTTATGTTTGTTTTTATGTGTGTTTATATGTTTGTTTATATGTTTGTTTATATGTTTGTTTATATTTTGTTTTTGTTTTTTGTTTTTGTTGTTGTTGTTTTTTTTTGTTGTTGTTGTTGTTGTTGTTGTTGTTTTTTGGTTGCTGTTTTTTTTTGCTGCTGCTGCTGCTGCTGCCGCTGCTGCTGCCGCTGCCGCCGCCGCCGCCGCTGCTGCTGGTGTTGTTGTTGTTGTTGTTGTTGCAACATGTTTTTTGTGCAACCTGATTTATGTATTCAATTTTTGTACATCTAACATCATCGAACTCTGCCTTGTTCTGAAGTATCTCGCTGGCTTCAACAGAAAATTAGGTACTCCAAACCTTCTCTTGTTTACCTTTTTCCAATGTGTTTGGGGTATACGTATACCCATATTTTAAACAAACCGCAATTCTATTATATTGATTGTCCATCCGTACTTGGCACAAATGAACCCAATTGATGAACAACAGTTTGGAGTCTGGGCGCCCCAACCTCCAAGCAGTTCCTTTCATGGTGCTTTTGGCTGGCCAAGTTGAATTTCCGATATTTTGCTGGTGAACAGCCAATTCAGACATTCAGAATGTTCAAACCACCAACCAGTTGTTGAGTTGTTTGTGGAATTAAATGCAGATTTGCCACATTCACCCTTATTAACCCTTCTGAATTTTCGGAACGCTTTGATTTTTTATATCGTTGATGTAACTCAGTTCATTCCCTTCTTTGTGGCAGTGATGGGCAGTGGCCAGGTGGCGCAATCAGCCACAGGATCCACAGGCGCATGAAGCATCTCATGGGTGATGCGGTGAAGCAGTCGGAGTAGGGAGGATTTAATTGAATAGAGATTAGTGTGGTTAAAACACTAATAGTCCATCCATTTGGGAATGGTTTATACCACCCATAAAAATTGTGATTTGGAGGATGGTTTATTTTTGTTTTAACCACATTATTTGATAAACGTTTGTTCTTGCTAATTATGGTTTATCATACATGCATACAAATACACATGGGAAAGTAGAAGGTTTCAGACTCATCACTGGTGGGGCCCACAAAGTGCCCTTTCTGTGTCTAAGATGGCTGGCTGGGAAACTTATAGATGGGAGATTTTAATTTGTTATGCTTGATTACCGGAGGGTCTTTGTCAAATTCCCTTTGTTATGCCTTCTATTTCACTCCTCAAGTTCGTGTTTGTTGAAATCAAGCTGCAGTATAGTATAGATCTCGCAATTGTCCAATTCTATGTGTAATATGTAAACTTTGACCTTTCACTTTTCCCAACAACGTTTTGGTTTCGCCAGTCTCCCAATCCTCGATTCTGGCGTACGCGCCAGGTGGCTACGCAGCCGAAGCGCCTGTGGCTCCACAAAGGACCATCAGCCTGTCACGTCTATCTATCGATCTATTTTCCTTTGTTTCTTTGTACTTTTTATATCTTTTTACCTTGTGTTTTTCTGTCTTTTTTTTTCGATCTATCTGTCTATGTATATATAGATAAACAGTATCTACAATATCTTTCTTTCTCTCTATATGTCTATTTGTCTATGTCTATTTCTCTTTGTTTATCCACATATATCACTCATATTTGTAGTTTGCCATGGTGGGAAAGTCCATGGTGGTCCTGTGATTCCATGATGGTAGCCGGGGTAGCCCTATGACTCAGGAAAGCTCCAAATCTCAGGGCGTGGGATTGCGGACAGCTTTTTGGAGATTTTAGGAGTATGGCGGACACCTTTGCAATGCTGGAAGATGCCTTGAAAAGGCTGTCAGATGCAAATTACCGTCACTGGGACATACTGGGACTGCAATTCGGTAATCCAACAGAATGGAAATCCCTCCATAAATCGGCATTGTTGGTGGGAAATTCATCGATCAATGGATGATTTGCTATTGCAGCGTCGTACCTGTGTATTGATTCCAATGAAAGCCTGAAATCCAATGATAGGTGGATTCCAGTCTTGCTTGGAGGAAGCCAAGACAAAGGGGCTCCTGCGCCCCACTTCGAATAGGCTTTGTCAATGGGTTACCTCAAAGTTGATGGTTTATCACCAGTTTCCTTTCCAGATGAGCTATAATCAATGGCCATTTCAGGAACCTAAAATGGAGGTATCTACCATATATAAGGCCTATGTAAGGCCTATGTAAGGCCTATGTAAGGGAATATCCCCACAAAATATGTCCTTATATGGTACAGTACCTCCATTTTAGGATCCTGGAATTCCCATTGATATAACTGAGGTCCAATCCCAGCTTCAGACACACCTTAGGTTTGCTTCAAACCTGGATTGTCACCATATGTTGCAGTCTGGAGAAGTGACCTGAAGCCTGAAGACTCCCTTTTCCCAAAAACATCGACACTCCAAAAGAGCGAAATTTCAAATGACGGTCGGTTTTTCATGGACAATGTCAGCAGTCAGCGACGGCTTTCCCATACAGATAACTGCTGTCACATGACTTGTTTGCCATGGGCACGGTGTAACTCTGCATGTTTGTTCCTGGTGATATATCAAGATCAACTGGTTGGTGGTTTGGAACATTATTTTTTTGAAATTCCATATTGGGAATGTCATATTCCCAACTGACTTTCATATTTTTCAGAGGGGTTGAAACCACCAACCAGTCAAGCATTTGATAAGCTGTGATGTTATTCTTGGCTGGAAAAATGTAGTTATCCGTGACCCCCCATCTTTTGGTAGAGAATCTCCCCAACCATTGACAGATTGAACATTGGCATGCCCATGTCCATATATATTCACGGATTCAATGGGCAAGTATTCATGATTATATTTGATAGGAACACCATATTTCCCCGATGACTGGAGTATACTGGAGTTGTGGTGTGGAAATCATACACGAAAGCATCAAACCACGGTTTTCACATGTTTTCACTCCAAATATGGCTGTCTCCTGTAATCATCCCACAGCGGCTCATTGCAGCGAAGCATGATCATTAATGTCAATTCTGATGTCTATTCTTGTGATTAATATACATATCATTAATGTACATTAATATACATTATTGATCATTAAAATACATTAAATTAATATACGATAGTATACATTAATAGACATTAATGCACATTAAGCTTATGATTATTCTCGGTCTTTTCCAATGCTGAATATCACAGCTATTTGTTGCTTGACGGAGAATGTTTCATTTTGTAGAAATATGCACTAATATGTTGGTTTTACAAAAACATAACTTGTCTAGAACGATTGCGTTAGCATTATTGGTTTGTCATTATTGTTATTTATGTTCATGTGTGTCGTCATGATACTACAACCAACAATGGATTTGATATTATGATCACTATTTTTGCCATCACAGCCAATGACAATTATTTGATAAGCAATAGTTAGCTGTCATACCTTTTGTCACACTATGAATCATTTATGGTTTGTTGTTGACAACTAATAGTTCTTATTACATCAATGTTTTTTCATCTCAGTATTCCATTGCTGCTCGGATATTATTTATGAACAGGACTACCATGGCTTGTGCTATATTATTGTTTTTACTATGACTATTACTAATTTTGTCACATTCTTACTTTCCATTAACTATACAATAACTAATGACCATGGCTATAGGCTATACCAATTGCTCTAATACAACTCTACTCCATAGATCTTCTCTATCAACCTACCCATCAACCCAGAGTTCCCACCCCCGGTTGTTAAAACCGGTTCCGGGTTCGAAGCGAGGCTTGGCCGTGAGCACCGGCAGCGGCCTCGAAGAAGACGACCACCTCATGGCCTTCGAACTCTTCCGCCGGGCTGTGCCATGCTGTGCCGCGGGCGGGTCTGGTTATCGTGGATTCATTATGATCATACAATCCCACATGCGAACCATGGTGCTGGTATATAAAGACGTACATAACTGGGTGATTTTGTTCGGGTAAATGTTGGTAAATATTCCAGCACCATGGAGCATATGGGTTATGATCATACACTCATACCACTGGTTACCCTCTGGTAAGCGTTTACATAGCTATTGAAAATTGCCATTTATAGTGAGTGTTCCCATTAAGAATGGTGATTTTCCATAGTTATGTTAGTTTACCACTGGTTAATAATGATAGTTCGTTGGATGTAATATAGTTGGTTGATGGAACTTGGCCATCTAGAAAACAATTTGCTTGACAGTAACACTCGAGTAATAGTACTTAAAACCAACAGTGATGATAATAGTAATAGAATAAATAGTGATAGTAATTATAGTAAATATAACAATCCCTGATTATACTGTAGTTATGATGGTACTGATAAAAGAACTATTATTAATCACAACAATAATGATGATTTCCAACAGTGGATTACAATGACATTGATAACATGATTCAGGCTGATCACATGATATATGGGTGCTACTACCAGTACTACCAGTACTACCAGTACTACCAGTACTAGTAGTAATAACTACCAGTACTACCAGTACTGCCAGTACTACCAGTACTACCAGTACTACCAGTACTACCGCTACTCCCCCTACTCCCCCTACTCCCCCTACTGCCACAACCACCACCACCACAACCACCACAACCACCACCACCACCACTACTACTACCACTACCACTACCACTACCGCCTATCTACTACCTTTATTCTGCTACCTGCTACCTGCCAACTACTAGCTAGTACCTTCAAACTATTCCCTTCTACCTACCAACTACTAAGTACCAACTACTAAGTGCTAGTGCTGCTGCTGCTGCTGCTGCGACTATTCCGCCCGCTGCTCTTGCTACGGCTACTGCTACTGTAGGAATATTTTTCATAACGAGAAGACGAATCACTGGGATTTCCATACGCAAAGCCAATGCCACAAACCTCCAGAATTGTGAATGGTAAAGTGAACCTTTTCTGGCAAAATGGGGGGGCGTTTCTACACACTATATGGGTATGGATGAAAATTCTGGACCTGGACCACAGGGTTGATGATTAATTAGTATGACCCTGTTTTAACCATCCAACTATTAGGGCACCCCACGACTTGACCCATCAGTTGGGAGGTTTGAATTCCAAACAAAACAGGAGGGTGTTGGATGGTTTGGGCAGGTTTGGAATTTTCCATGGGGAATTTATGATACCTTGTAAAAGGGTATGTTTGTTGTGAAGTCTAGTGAGTTTTTTCCGTTCCAACTATGAAGAGAATATGTTGGGTCAAAATATCAGGCCCAAGTTTTCCAACATTTTGGCGGCCATTTTTTGTGAAGTCTTTGTTTCATGGTGCGGTTTGAGACGGCCGCGGCCTGTTCTCCCTCCCGTACTGAAAGGTTTGCCGGGTAACGCAAGATCATCGCATCCAGAAGAACGTTTTGGACCAGATCTCTCCAAAGGACGGCCCGGCCGCAGATGGAGCAGCTTTGCTTCCGAAGCTCTCCCCAGAAAGGTACCAAGTTGCGGCTCTCGAATTGGAACATCCAAAGATGGATCTCCCTGCATGATTTTCAAGTTTGATGCTTCAAAGCATGATTTGCTTTGTCGATGGGGTAGAAAAACACAAAAAATTACCCAAAAAACACGTCTTATCTAAAGTCACATCAATTTATCCCCAAATTTGCTGCAGAACAAAAGTGTCAAAGCGGGCCATCGCCCATCGCAGGATTTGATCCTCCACTTTCTACTGGAGGTGATGGATCAGAAACCGCGCCACAAGAAGCGCACCGAGGCCGGAGCTGTCGGATTTTGAGGCCCGGATTTTAGGTCGGATTTTACTTAGTAACCCACAAAAAAAAACATGTACTGTAATACTAAAATAGTGATACATTATTGTTCTACCTTTTGTGAGGTTGTTGTAATGTTTCTGTGTTCTGTTTCCATGTACTTTGAATGGGAAATGATGAAATTTGCAGCTGCTCCATGGCTAGGATTTGTTTGAATGGTTTTCCACACATGAGAGGTGCTTGCAAAATTTGATGCGTTAGTTTCATTCACAAAGGAACAATTGTCCATTGATGGGAAACTACCACAATTTCTTGGACCCTACTGCCCTTTAGGGTTTGCTTCAGCTTAAAGCAGTGTTTTCAACACAGCAAGGCATTTAGCAACTGGGCTTGTTTGAAAATGGCGTACATTATATATCTCTTCCTGTCTTCCATTGCTTAGTCACCATTTCTCACTATGCCTCATTAAGACAGCTGTGGTGGTCCCATGTTAAGACACCCCCTTCCAGGACATGTTGATTTGAGGGGAGAATATGCCAGGGGCGGAAATTCGCCAAAGATGCACTCTGCTCATTTTTACAGCGAACTGGAAGCCATGGTCCACAAATACTTCGATGATTTACCGATTAAAATGGTGTTTTTTTTTCATAGCGCACTAGCACAAATTTCCAGAGGGCAAATCAGTTTCCCATCAAATGTCCCCATAACAACTCATCAAATGCCACCATAAATTCGTGGCTTTCATGATCACCCTAGAATCCCATCAACATTTTGTTTAACCACTAAACCATACTAAACCACCATTTGAATCACCAAATCCCATGAAATTTCATGGACGATCACCACTAAAGCACCATGAAACACCCCATCAACTCGTTATGACTTGTCCCTTTGTTTCTGCCAGGCTTTGTTGCTGTTGCTGATGCAGCTGGACAGTTGGCGCCTGGTGGCGGAAGATGAAAAGCTGCATGCAGCCACAGCACTGCACTTTGGCTGCCAGCGGGGAAGTAGGGCTTCCGGTGTCACCAAAAACAAGGGTATTTTGAGCTCATTTTTCTGGTTACTTGGAGGGTCTAGAATCTAGAGTCATAGGTATATATTATATAAGTACAGACGATGTATGTATATAAACACATGTACATGTATTTATATTATTTTATATATTTTTCTCACTGTACTGTGCCAAGCTGAGTCTAGGCCAGTCACTGGTGGCAGATGTCGTGCGGCCAATGTTTACCGAAAGAGGCCTGAACATTTCCAGGCGGGCCGAAGTCTAACAGCTTCGGTAAGGACGTCGTCGGTGTGACGATTCCACCACATGAACCCGCGCGCACTGAAGAGAAGCATGCCAATGAAGTAGAAACAAGCCACGGAAAGTTGATCCCGCAGGAACTGGTGAAAATTCAAAGGCATCCTCACCAATGGGCATGATAAGGAGAGCGCTCACCTAAACTTCCCACGTCAAACCCAGGGCTTATTGGAGCTCTCCGCTCGGCTCAGCCATCAGGCGAAGTTGCAATAAAATCAGACCAGAGGCGAAGTCACGGTATGGTCAGGCCACAAGGATGTAAGCTACTCCCATACACCATATGGGTATGGATCAATACCTATTAATACCATTTTTAGTGGGATGAACATCCATTTACCAGCTATTTTGATGTTCACCAGGGGTACAAGGTTTTGACACACTGCCATATGACCTAAAAGGTGGACTCAGTAATGGATTCGACAAGGATCATGCTAAGATTGGGCAGCCTACAGCTTGGGCAGCGTACAGCTTACCCAACACAACTTGCCTGGCGCACCAAACTGGTGGACACACAGCTTACCGATCAACAGACGCAGCCGATCTGGGCCGGTGGCTTGCATCTATATGTCATTGTATAAACAGATTTTTATTATATATTATTATTACTATTATTATTGTTGTTATTATTATTTTAGTTATTATTATTATTTATGATTATATATATATATGTATCATAATAATAGCTAGGAACTTCAGTAACTCCAAGAAAGAGTTTGTTTCTCTTAAAATCCTTCTAAGCGAGCGGTCAATTATGTTTTGTTGTCCCTCTCTTTTGATGCTTACCATATGACGTGTGTCCTTCGGGCAGATCGGGCAGATGTCCTCCTCCTGCCCTGGCTCAGGTACAGGAAGAGAATGGAACCAGCGACTGGGTCTGGAAATAGTATCTGCATGGGTATTTAGGGAGAGAGATAGATGTGTATATATACATTGACATATAATATACACATAAATAACATATATATATATACACATGCAAGTCTATACATATGATATATTTATATATACAGACACACAACATATATATATATATGAATATACACAGCCATAGATGAGCAGTGCCGTTGCCTCCCACATAATTATTGGAGGGGATGAATTTGCCCAGTACATCACCAGGACAGCGGGATTTTAATCACCAGGCGGGTCCATTGGTAGCCTCAATGCATTGATTTCACGGGATGTTTTTTTTTGTTGGTCATTATTTGGCATCATAGACTTTGCACTGCAAAAAAAAATGAAGGTTTCCCTTCAACCAATTGAGGGCCTTATTTCAAATCTTGTGATGTCGGAAAACTGCTGAAACCACCGGAAAATTAGAACAGACCCATGGCAGATGCTGTGGTAGAACCTTTGTAGTTTTAGATTGGAATATATTACCACAGACAATCCAATGCAGAATAAATGACCACTGAACATACCATGGCACATATTCATTAAGTATTGCAAATGATTTCGGATCCCTCTGCATAGTTGGAATACATACCGTTAAAACACATTTGAAAACCATAAACATCGAGGCCATATATATATACCCATGTATGTGTAAATATATACATATGTAAATGAATATGAATACGATTATGTAGTATGTATATATATATATATACATATGTAAATGAATATGAATACGATTATGTACTAGTATATATATATATACATATGTAAATGAATATGAATACGATTATGCACTATGTATATATATATATATAAATATGTACATATATGATTTGCAGAATGACATGGAAATTCCACCTGAATATTGACGTTTTTGTTTTTTTTTAAACATCAATTAGTGTGTACTATGCCGAGGTGGATGAGGCCGAGGCTGAAGAGGTAGCAGTGGTTGAAACTGATGAGCTGGAAGAACTCTTGGCAGACGCCCGAAGGTGGGTAGACATCCATCGTTTGGGTGACTTGAGGCTGGGTAGACATGGAATACTGTATATATATATATATATTATGTATATGATATAGTTGTTTTGTTTCGGAAATATTAGATCTTATAGTCTTATAGATCATATTGTACATTATATGTAATACTTTTTTCAACTATATACTATTATATATATATATATATTTGTACAGGTTGTATATAATATATATTGTTATAATGCTAATGATTATCAATGTTTATATATACATACATTTTATAGTAAATATTAAATATTAATCTACGAACTTTATATGTTCATTGTTCTATGTTCATTTGCTTTAAATATTAAATATGTATATATATATACATTACAGTAGATAATATTATTATTTATATATATATATATATTAATATATTTCGCTTTATCTTATTTAAGTTTTTTATATTCGATATGTTTGATATGTGTTTTAATTATATTTTTTTGAAGTGACTATTTGTTTCTCTCATTATATCGTCTATAGTTCATTATATGTATAGTATTCTTATATCCTATATTTTTGTGTTCATTTTAAATAATATATATTTATATTGTTGATTAGTGTGTTAATATATATATATATATTATTGTCTTGTTTCTTAGTAAATATATATAATTATTTGTAATTATATATGTTACATTGTAAATTATATCGTCTTAATGTTATAAATACAATGTCTGTTTTGTTTATATTGTATAATATATTTTTATAGTATATATTCTATGCTTTATTGTTTCATAATATGTTTAATTTGTTTTTTTGGTAAATTATATTGTATATTGAATTTTATATATTGTAGATTATATATTATGTTTCTTATATGTTGTACTCCTATATAGATTACATATATTGTATATTTTGTATTGTTATTTTATATACATGATTTCGTTCATTGTATTTTATGTATATTTTATGTTGTATATGTTTTAATTGTTATGTATTATATATCATAGTTTTGTTTTACCAAAAAAACATATTATATATATATTATTCATTTACATTTGATTCAATAATATATATATATATATATATACACATGTGGATTCATCCATAATTTTCTGGGGTCTTAATATACAATGGGATATGTGATATGTGTGTATTCTGAACGAATTATAAACAGTTGATGAATTTTCCAAGGATTTGACCTTACCCAAAAAGAGTTTCGATGATCCAATGGTCACGGTTGGGATCCCATTCCCCGAGAGATGATGAAAACATGGGAACACATTTTTTTGTTGGTTGAGGTTCAACGGATATTTTTTTTTTGAAATTATGGCGAATGGGTGATGGTGGGCAAATATGAAGGTCTGACAGTTTATCTTTTTTTTGGAGGAATGACAACTGCAGGGTGCAAGTTGAACTGCACCATGCTGTAACCCTTCCCTCTGACAGTCCAAAGTCTTAATTTCTAAAATAGATCATCTCCATTGTTTGCCATATATTTCCCTCGCCTTAAATCAAGACTCACCTAAGGACCTATGTTTGAATAACTGATGCTGAAACCTATCCTCACAGCGACAGGCGTGGTGCCTTTGGGGTGCTTCTCATTCGCGTACTCGCAGCACATAATTTGGTCAACGCCGATTGGTTTAGTCTGTCAGATCCCTACGCCAAGGCGCCGACGGGGATAGACCTGGTAGACCTGTACCGGTGGTTGATGTTTGATGCCTGGGATGGAGGCGGTGATGATTACAATGTTTTGTTAGCACAGTGGGAAAAAAGGAATAAACACCATATTCATTATGAATTGAGTCATCTCATATATATATATATCATTATTTTTCTATGCAACAATTCCACACTGCAATGCTTTAGGTGTTTTAGCTTAATCCTCGTCTTGTCATGCCTCTTCTCCGATCCTATTCCGAATCGAAGCCACAAAAAGGTCCAGCGCCTCAGATTGAGGCGATCATGTTCAAGAACAGAGTCATCGATGACAATGAAACACATTTTTTTTTGCCATGTTTTTTTTTAAAACCGAAATTGGTACCCTCTGGTTATATGACTAACATAGCCATTGTAAGCCTTGTAAGCCATGGCCCATAGAAATAGATGGTTTACCTATTACAAATGGGTTCTTTCCAGTTCGCTACGTTAGTCATAACCAGATGGTGCTATGTTAGTCATAGCCAAAATTGTGTTCACCTGAAAAATCCAGGTCATCCTGGGCGACCATCGAAACATCCATCCTCACGAGGTCACAGTGGACAAAGTTTCCAAGACTACGCCAGTCGTGGATGATTGCGACTCGTCAACGGTTGGAATTGGGAGATGATTTCGATGGTGGCCTGAAAGGTGCCCCGAAACGTTCAATGTTTCTTGGTTTATAAGCCATCTAACATAATCCATGGTCTTTGTTTTCCGGAGAATATGAATCGAAGTGTTCTACAATATGTCATTTGTATTACATATATATATACATATCCCCATGAAACTCCATTCAATCATTTCTGTTCGTTTCCTACAGTGGATGGTTGTGAAATCCTGCGTTGATAGTTTGTAAAAATGTGGTAAAGATATATCATATAGATATTATGTGTATGTGATATTATATGATATTATATGGTATATATATATATCACATATATATATAAGAATATATTATAATATATATCTCATGATTTGTTTAAAGGATTAACAATCCTAATTTTAAACATTCAATAGCCCACTCTAATATCCCACTCATATCCCTTGGTAACCCAGGTTTGGATCCTCATTGGGACGAAGAACTCTGGAACTTCGATGTGGAGGCCGGAAACCAAGGGGATTTCCATGGGAAAATCAATGGGATTTAATGGTCAATAATGGTAATCATGGTTTAAGAATGCTATTTAATGGGATATTGATTGAGAATTGTATAAGCTGTTAGTGGGAATTCCATGGGAAAACCTGGCAAAGGGATTGTAATCCACTGAATGGGATATATCCTGAATGGCAATTATCTACGTGGCTAGGAAATCCATGAACAAAATTAGAGGTTAAAAAAAATAGCTGGGCAACTCATCTAAAAATAGGAAAAAATCCGTAGCTTTGTTAAATAACTGGAGGGTAATGGACAAATGGTAAACTATCGGGAATTGTATATCACAAGAAATATGGATATGCAATGCAAACAATACGTTATTCACTTCCCACAACCGAAAAGTGTGGACTTAGCATTGATTTGGTTTATGTCTTACAAACATATCACGGTTATTCGCGGTTTATCACGATTGGACTTGCACCGGATCCAACACTAAACTTGGCTTCTCAAGGTCCCAAGTTCCATGTCCGACAGTGGGCTCAGTAGAGATCATGATATGGAAGCCACAGAAAATTGATAAATTCACCTGGAAATGGCAGAATGTGTGGTTTCCATGTGTTTTCATGTTGCGTTTGAAGAGGTACACTTCAAGGATTGGTGTTGGGAAATATGCAAGACACCACTGTCTTTACCTCGGATTACAGGGCTTTCTGGTTTCCATTTTCCCAAAAAAACCTCTGGGAACAGCAACGCACAAGGCAGAGTCGAGCATTGTTCGACTTGAAGTCTGGGACAAAGACACCGTCCAGGTAGCTCCATATGGGGCTTTCCATAGTCATGGGCCATGGGGGTACCATAGCTGGATACTTTAGAATGGAACATCTTATATGGATGATTTGTGATTTGGGGTACACCCCATTTTAGGAAACCTATGGAAACCTCCAAATATTTCGCAGTTTTTTTGTCACATATGAACAGCCACCCCGGTACCGGGGTGGCTTCTCATCCCAGATCTTTCCGTGGATCATTCTGCAGGACGATTCCCTGGGTTCGATCTCCATTCCCATCAGCATGACGCCTTCGGAAATGAAACGCTTGCGCTTCCACTTGGATCGTGTGGCGTCCCTTGGTGGCGAGGTTGGTTTTTTGAGATTCTCGAAGGCCTGGCCAGTGGAGAATCGCTACGATGTGCCTCATAGATAGCCGAGGTGGTTTATAATGTTTATATGTTTTATAACTTAAGGATAGATATAATATATTTTATCATGATATATCTACGGATCATGCGGTTTATAAACCAAAAAACTGGGATGTGTGCACCTTGTCTAAAATTGCTATGCTTCGCAATTCTGCCACAAGACTCCCATACCTTTGGCCATGTTTGCTACCTTGTCTCCCTAATTCTATTGCTTACACTATGGTTGTTGGTATCCATTTTTCATCATTTTTCCGTTCCTATAGATCTTATAATAACCACCCCAAATAATTCAAAATAATAGAAAAGTGATTCACCACATTTCGTGGGATGTTACTTCTCTTTTTGGGGATTCTATTGCTGACACAGTTTTCGCACCATCCATTTTGGTCATCTCCGAGGCATGGAGAGCTGGAGGTAGAGATGCAATTCTTGAGGCGAAGCTGGTGTTTCAGCTGGGTCACAACTTCATTTTTTTTTATATAAGTGGGATGTTTCATATGCTTATTGTCCACTTACGATCATTACATATCATTACGATGCCTGATAAGATAGGTAGATGTTTCTTTTTTCATGCAACCACCATGAAGCCACACTTTTCCCATGCCATGGCTTTCTGGTTCACTGGCTTGATTCCAGGTTGCACATATTTCAGCGGAAAGATCTGGTGGTTTCCGTATCTGCAGTGGACCGCCAGATCGCCAGGTTGGAGACCGAAGACGATTTGGAACTGATCAAGTCGGGTGGTCGAAAGCTCCCCGGGGCCAAGCACAGTTGATTCGTCCTGGCGAAAAAAAGGCTGTAGGACACTGTGGATATTGAATTGATATTTTTTGCAGATCGTTATGCTACATTTTCACCAGAACATCACAGTACAACAGATGGTTTCTATGACTTTTTCCCAGTTTGTAGGTCGGTTGATGCTATCTCAAACTTCATCGGTCTCAGTGGTCAATGAGAGAGGCCTTGTGGCCATGAGGGTATGGGTCAAATTTGCATATCAAGCTTCCACAAAAATGCACACATTGAATGGTTGAAAATGGGGCATCCCCAAATCAACATGGTTGTTACAAAATGATGTTCATCCATGACGACTGGATGACTTGGGGCTACCCCCGTGACTTAGGAAACCTAAATTTAAGGAATGTGGCAGGTTCTTTGGTATTCGAAGTTTGGACCAGACCAAAGTTTTTCTCGAAAACTTGGTGTTTTTTCGTCGGTCGAATCATTTTCCAGCAAAGTCTCTGGAAGAGTTGACGCCAAAGAAGCCGTTGCTGAGCGATCTGCAAAGGATCCGCATTGCGAACCAAAGTCTACAAATAAAGTGATCTTTGTGTATATGCAAATATATGTGTTTATTTTTCAAATATACTATATGCACGAATATGATATGTTCTATTACAACTATATGGTGTATATATATATATGTATAATTATGTATATATTTAATGTGTATTAATATGTATTAGTTAAATTATATATATATATATATTAATTACATATATATATTATATATATATGTAAAAAATAACATGTCTTACATGAATATGTATAATTTGTGCAAGATAGGATTTACTCCATGTTAAGATAACATATCACTGCACTATTCAAAAATATGGAGTGATGTCGGATTATTATCCTTGTAACATTGAACATGCCACCAGAACCAAACCTTGGTGTAGTTTTGGGCATGTTTATCTTTGGTGGCTTAGTTTTCAGGGGATTTCATATGGCAAGTGGATGGTTTCATGCGTAATGACTTCAACATGACCTTTGTTTCGGGCGTTGAGATGTTTTTTTTAAATGCAAGTTGATCAACCTCTGGCATCAGGGAACCAACTTACCCTCTGGTTATGACTAACATAGCCATGGTATAGATGGCCCATAGAAATAGATGGTTTACCTATTAAAAATGGGTGGATCTTTCCATGGCGAACTGTTAAATAACCAGATGGTAAGACTTCTTGTGAGTAGACTGTTATTTATGTTTACGTGTCCTACACACATGTCCACGAATGACATGACATGTGTTCAGAAGACCTCATGTTAGCCAGGTATTGCAAGAACCATGGTTTGCGGTTGGTTTCCTGTGCTTTTGTATGAATCAATCCTATGAATTAATCACAATGTCGCACATGTTCTTCCAATGTTTCTTCATTCCATGATAGATGAGATTATCATATATAGATATGTTTTATGTGCATAGATAAATAATGGATAAAATTAACACTAGTCTGACTCTATGATTCTATAGCTGTTCATCAATGTTTGATCATTTTTTTGCCAGACATTCGATGAAGAAATCAGGTTCCAAAGTGGCGAGTCCACCTGGGACTACGATGGTGAGCAGATTGATCGAGACCCCGTAGGAGCCTCAGCATCACCCTGACTTTGGAGTTCATTCTGATACCCCCAATGCTCCATGGTGCTGGATATTTACCAACAAAACTAGCAAAAAAAAACTAGCAAGTTTTTGTAGAAACATTTTTTGGATGTTTCTTATTGCTGGCTATCAGACGTCGCAGGCGCATCCTTTCCACGACTATGTTGATGGTTTGCTCCTCAAGTGACATATGCGAATTGGATGTCACAAGATGGACTCAGGAGGCAAGAGACTTGCAGGACAGCAGCACGACAGTCTTCATAGAATGTAAATATGTCATCATATATACATCATATATATATAATATAATATATATATATATATATATATATATTATATATATATATATTATATTATATATATATTATATTATATATATTATATTATAGATATTATATTATATATATATCCTGTGATTTATGCAGTTACTTTATCAATGGACGGGAACAATAATTCGTCATGTTGGACTGCTGCCAATGAGAAAACCCCCAGAGAAGTGATCTAGTACTCGTAACTTCCAGCACTCGCTGGGTTCACATCATCGTCACGCAGTGTCCAACGTTCATTGCAGTTAATACTGTAAATGTTAATGCTTAATAATAGTTATAGTTCTTTTTTATACACATTATACGCGTTAATGATCGTTAATGATTAACAGTTTGATACTGAAAAGTCATGACAAGTCATGACCTTTTTAATGCAGTTCATCCCTTCCAAAAACATCGCTGCCCAGGCTACCAACCGTCCATAACTGACCCCTTTGATCCGAAAGAGGTGGCTTCTGCCGTGGCAGATCCTTGGGATTTTTTCGACGTCCACTGGGATGCGAGTCAGTGGCAGATCCTTGGGATTGGTACCCGGCCTGGTAAACGTTTACATAACTATGGAAAGATCCACCATTTTCAATGGGAAAATCCACTATAAATGGTCATTAAATGGTCATTTTCAATAGCTATGTTAAATTACCAGAGGGTATACTGTATAGGTGAGGGTCAGGGCAGGCAATGGGCAGAGTAACATGTAGTTTGATGGCCATTACCTCACTGCAGCATACTGCAGTACGGTTTCAAAACTTGGAATTTTCGTGACTGCCATGTGAATCTGGCGGGCTTCAGTTGAGGTGAGATCTTGGCTGGACGCCAACAATGACTGTAGAGATCTATGTATGATGATCATAGAGTATAGTGATTATAGACTGAATTCTGATTGCAGGAGACTTTTTATCTGTGCACTTGACACAGCATAGTGTTGTCATCCACCACCAGTTGTTGCTACATTGAATATGATCCAGCATCTCCAGCTGGACTGGGGCCATTTCACATCAACCTTGGGGAACTGCCAGCACGATCAGAAAATTCTCAACTTCTCGTCATCGTCAACAAAAAGACAGATTAATCCTATCATTGGAATTTGTTCCATCCAAAACCAGGAATGTGAATTGTTTGTCACTGTGTGTGTGGATTGATTTGGTGAAATGATGTTCATACATACATTTCGAAACCTTGCAAACGCACATATTCATACATATTATTCCCATATTACTTATATATATATATGACACACGTAATACTACATATCATTGACGATACATCCCAATGGATCCTGTAAAAGCACCTCACATAAAACACACATGTATAATAGTAATGTACGACAGCATTGCGGCTCAGAGGAAAAAGTGCTGAGTCTCTAGCTTAACGGTATTGGTTTTGCCCCATAGGTTTATCAGTCCATTTGGGATTATAAGATAACCCCAGCTGAAACCTGAAAATACAGGTTATCAGCCGTAGTCTCTAAAGCCATGGACAAGTCGAATGATGCAATAGGTGGTGGTGCCCTTGTCCCCTCGACTGGAACTGTATCTGCATCAACTGGTTCTCAGCAAAGCTTGCCGGCTGGGACAAACCCCACGCCCATGTCGGTTGATGAGGGTTTCTTCACACAGCCCGTGCAAGCCTATTTCCAGTTCGTGCAAAACAATCTTACCTACATCAACGAAGGTAACATTGATGCTTTCAGGCAAGAGGCAGAGGAGAGGCACACACATCTCATGGAACAAAAGGTCCAGCAACTGTACCAAGAGTTTGAGGGAATTTGCCTTAGTGAAATCGCCCATCAACGTGCAGAAGCTGATCGCAGACATGAACACCTAGTATCAGAGTATTCAATGTCCCAAACGGCAACTGAGCATGAGGTAGCAAAACTGAGACAGGAACTTAGCGATGCAAACGCAAAGCTGAAGAACGCTGCAAATGCAGTTGCACTGGAAGCTGAGCAAAGAGCCAACCAAAAGGTAGCCCATGTTACTGCCCAGTACGAACAAAGGTTTTCTGAACTCAGAGGTAGCCTCGAGGCAGACTGTAAACGAATCGTGGACGAAACAGTAGAGTATGCAAAGAACGGCATGGAAGGTTTCAAGAAGGAGGAACAAGCTGTAATCCAGGAGATTAGAGAGGAATGCAGTAGGCAGGAAAACCAAGCTGCTGAACTCAACTTTCAACTGCAGGGACAAGTGGAGGATTTGATGGAGAAGCTCAACAAGTACAGCGCCCCAGAAATCAAGGTCGACAGAGCCGTCGAAGTTGATGATGCACAAGGCGGGAACAATGTCGATTTGTACTTGACCCCAAAATCAGCGGTCGGTACCAAGGCTGGAGCAGAACCCATGCCAAACACTGGTATGAGCAGCTTAGCCATGGACGCCAAAGAAAGGTTGAGCAACTTATTCTCAACAACCCCTGCCGGATCAGCAGCCCCTCCAAAACTGCCACCATTGCCAGTTCAAAGACAAAATGATGATGATGCAAATCAAGAGCATAGTGTGCCCAGTCCTACAGCAATAGCAAGCGACACCGGCAAGAAAGCTGCTGATGCAGGCTTAGGTCTTTCAGGTCAACAATTGCTAGATCTCATCACTAGACTGACTTCAAAGGATTCAGATGGTGAAAAGCCCCGAACAAAAGAGGCAGAGACTATCAAACTGAACGACATGCCTGCCCCAGAAGCGTATCGTCACTGGCGTAATCATGTCAGGGATGAAGTCGTGCTCCGACAAACCCGATGAGGCTTGGCTTTGGCTCAATGAAGTCTTTGACAACAAAACTCCTAGGGAAAAGTTGGAGGAAAAGCTGCAGGAACCTGGGAAGTTCATCACACTTGACACCAAATTGTCGGCAGCGTTAACTCGCTCGGCCAAAGGTGATTTAGCAACGAAGATCCATAACTTCAAAGATGAGAAGTCAAAGAAAGGGATCCAAGTTAGAGGTAGGAGAGTCCTTTTGATGTTTGAAGATTACTTCAGGACGTCTGAGGAAGCTGGCAGTCTCTACCGCGTCGAGGACCTACTTGGAGTCGTTCGCACTGGAGAATCTGTGGAGGACCTTAGAAGGTTTCTGAAC